GTGACGGACTCCAACCCCTACAGGTGCGGCCGGGGGGCGAGGCGCGCTGTGGCGTGAGGAGGCTGCACATGCGGGGTTGGGTTATGAGGAGAGGGCGAGGACTGCGCCATGGGGAGGAGGCCCGGAGGCTGAGTCCGGGTGTAGAGGATGGGGATGAGGGCTCTCAGGCCGTGGGTTGGAACGGTGGGCTCTGAGGGGTGGGCCGGGTGTGCTGAGGAGGGTGTCAGGGCAGTGCTGAAGGCAGGTGCGCTGTGAGGAGGAGGGGAGAGATGCTCTCGGATTTCCCACCTGACCGGGCTGGCAGGGGGGTACATCGGGGTTACCTTGTGTTATCTTGCTTTACGGTACAGGGAGAGGGAGGGGAAAGTTTTTGAGATTTTCAGCTAAGTTGCTAATAAATGAGACAGATGTCAGTATTACATGAAGTCTTTTTCTTATTCTTCTGACTAACATATTTTAGAGTTTGGTTTGGAGATGTCTCGAGCATCTGGGACCCCTTCTGATGCTCAGCAGTTCTGGAAATCTGATGCATTTTTGGGTTTTTTTTCCAGGATGAATTGCGTTGATACAAGCTGATGCTTGTATTTTCATTCATACTTTCTATGAAAAAATGCAATAGCAGGATAAAACGTTACTTTAAAACTCTTCCAGTTATCCTCAAAACCTGATACTCTGTAATTAATTTTTAAAAAAAATGTTATGTTGGAGTTAATCTAGTCAAATTGATCAAAAAACAGTGGAAGAGTCTTTACTGGCCTGCTGCCATATGGTTCATTAAAGTAAAAAGTGTAGGCTTTCATTCTGTAAATCAGGGATTCATTTACAAAAATAGCTATGGATCCTCCTGATTTCATTGTTGGTACTCGTACCGTCTGAATAAGTGCGTGAGTTTCTGCAGGGTTAGCACTCTGTTGCTGTTGCTAATAGGAAAGTATCTACTGTCTAATTTAGACTGCATCAAGCTTGCAATCACAACTGCAGTGAAAACAGAAGGCGTGAGTTTGGTGCTTGGTGGGGTTATTTTTAAAGCAGGAGTGATTTTAAGTATCTGAAAAGCAAAATTGCTATTAGAAATGTAGAGAGCATTTTCTGTATAATGTTGCTGTTTTTCTTTGTAGTCGCTTGATGGCATTAAAAAGAATGGGAATTGTCAAGGACTACGAGGTAGGATTTTGTCTGCATTAAAATAACCTTGCGTATTTTCCCTGTGAGGACCATTTTTGATATGCTGATCTGTATTTTATTTCTTTCTGCAGAAAATCCGTACCTTTACAGTTGCAGTAGTAGGTGTAGGTGGAGTTGGCAGCGTGACTGCTGAAATGTTGACAAGGTGTGGCATTGGTAAGGTAATGAGAGTTTTCTTCTTCTACTTCTTTATAGTAGACGGATCAGTCTTCTTCATAGAGAGTTAGATTCGATTTCACTCAGTTGATTTTGCCCAAGTAAAAAAGCACTATGAAGAAAGCACTCAAGAACAGCACTTGTGTCAACATCACAAATAAAGAGTCTTTATTTTTCTTATGCTAGTAAAATTGATTTACTTAGGGCTTAATCCTGTATCATGTGGATGATTCTTGTTTGGATGCTTGTCTTCTCTGTGCTCTTGTATGAGCCCATCTATCTAACTGTCATACTGGATTATTGCAAAAGAAAAACAAAATAAAGAAAAAGGAGGGGATAACTTGCGTAGAAGATTGTGCTAATGTTATGCGAACAAGTTGGTATTCATGAAATTGAAATGCAGTAGATGCCAAACAAATGTTTTTATCACAAACATTAGTTCATCATGTGGCAGACATAGAGCTAAAAAATCAGCAGCAGTTAAAAATAATTTGATGTGTGTATAGATAAAAAGAATCTCCAGAACGGGATTTTTCTTTAAAGAAGGAATTTGGAGAATGGCTTAGATGTTAGTATTTCCAGGCAAAGCCTGACCACTTACTCATGGAACTTTAAGAAGTTTCTTAATACAGAGGTGATGCAATTTTTTATTGCAAAGTTTATTCCTCCTTCTTCTGAAGGAGCATTTCCTGAAGACCAGCATCTTAGGCATAGAAAAGTACATGGGACAATTAATTCATAATTTATAATAATCAACATGTCCATGTATTATGTAGGTATTTTAAGTGATTTGTTTTTGAAGAACTACATGCCAAGACAAGTGAAAGAAATTACAGGAGAGACTGTGTGAGTTTTAGTTGCTGGATCAGCCTAAAACCACAACATAATGCCATAACAGCAAGCAGGACTGTGATAACAGAGGTGATAGTGTTCATGTAGATAATCTGTTGAATATTCTTAGTTTAGATAAAATGAACAAATTGCTTTTTATTAAGAGTTGTTTTCATGACTTACCAATTAATTTCCTGGTGAATGACAGTTAGAATTCAGTCTTTCATGTACGTACAATGTTGGTAACTTCTGTATGTGAACTGAATGGGACTGGGGGCGGTGTTTGCTTGGGTTTTGTTGTTGGTTTTAGAATGAGTTTTGTTGTTTAAAATGCCTTGCCATAGGGCTCTGATTGTGGAGTCTTTGGAGATTCACATGTGTTAATACAATCTTTATTATAGCTACTTCTGTTTGATTATGACAAAGTGGAATTGGCAAACATGAACAGACTCTTCTTCCAACCTCATCAAGCTGGATTAAGTAAAGTGCAAGCAGCAGAGCATACTTTGAGGTATAACTTAGGGAAGTGGGTATCAAAATGTATTTACCCAGGATGCTGCTCCAGAAAACTGATGTTTCATTCTTAATCACTTGCAGAGTAGCATGATCTAATTTGGAAATTTAGATCCAATTTAGGATATAAATAGTTGTGGGAATTATTGATACTTTAAAGACATTTTTGTACTGGCCAAAACCTTAATGTAAGCCTCCATTTTAAGTATAGCTAATTTTTCTCAGAAGTTTGCTACAAATGATACCACTTTGATATGTTTTGATTTTATTTTTTTTTTTATCTTATCTGTGAATTTTTGATAAATATGGGTGTACTCTAGACTTCAGACTGGAAGCTTAAGACTGTAGCAACGCTGAAGTTAAGGAGCAGAATGCAAGTTATCATCATATTTATTAACAGTGACTTATGTTATTTCCTCCATAAGGAATATCAATCCTGATGTTCAGTTTGAAGTACATAACTACAACATCACAACACTGGACAACTTTGAACATTTCATGGATAGAATAAGGTAAAATCTCTCACCTTCTGCTCACGTGTGGCTCTAAATACAGCCTCACATTTTTATTGTTGGGTTTTTTTTCAGTGCAATGACTTCCAGTTGAAAACCAATGGGAAATATGTATGTATGAAGACATTTCTGCCTAGACATTTTCTTTAGAGTTGGCATTTATTTCTACTGTTCGATAGTTATATTTTTATATTAGTGCATCTTTAGATTTCCAACCAAAGCTGCAGGTCTTACAGGCTTTTCCCATTATAGAAAACAGATCAGGTCATATCTTGACTGCTCCGGAGTAGTTTCAGGTGTGCTTCATAGAATGAAGAAAGGAAATAGTTATTAGCGGATCTCACAGAGAAGTTCTGAAATAACTTTTTCCATTTGCAGTTATGCTGTACAAAGATACAATTCTCCAATACTTTGTATTGTGGATGTGTACTATATAAAATTTCTTTTGATCTAAAATGCCCATATATTTAAATCCCAGCTTCGGCATGCTCTTGTTTCTACTGTAGATCTAGGATGGTAGTTGTATCCTGTTCTGCATTTGCACAAGTTTTGTTAGAAATACACTTTCCATCTGCTTCTGTACTCCAGAGCAGCATGTTGATTGCTATGTTGGTATTTTGTTCTGCCAGCAATTTCATGCAAACTTCTGATACTTATTTCAGTAACGGTGCGCTAGAGGAAGGGAAGCCTGTCGATCTTGTTCTGAGCTGTGTGGACAACTTTGAAGCTCGGATGGCTATTAACACGGTAAGGTCATTGAAGGTGTGAGGTTGCAGAGGTCGATTTTTCTCCTGTAAATAATGTTAGGAATTGTGGGGTCTAGAGGAAAGACAGGAACTTATCAAGAATCTTCCAAGAAATTTCCTCCTTGATTTAAGGAAACAGGATCTGAGATTTTACCCAGTTCTTATGAAACACGTTTTATGTGTGTACATATAACTGTAGACCTTTAAGTGACTAGCAGGTGATGGTTAGTAGGAGTTGAGTGTTGTCAGCCCTCTCTGTCTTTCCAAATTACCCTGTTTATATAAAAGTATTATCAAAGCCTGGTGTGTTTAAATCTTACAAACTTTTTAAAGACTCTGTATAGCTAATTGTATACTTCCTATGACTTTTTGTATACTAAAAATGTCTTAAGGCTGTGTACCTAATCAAACTGTTTTTCTTTATAGTAGCAGCCAATGCAGGGTACATGCCAAACACGTGTGTTCTGTTATCCTTCAGCTAACTGGATCTGCAAATTGCATGCACAGATACACTGTATCCATGCCACTAAAAGTAGTTTGTGCAATTAGATTCTGTAGTGTGCTAGTAATTGGATCACTGATGCCTGTGTTTGTTCAAAAGTCTCAGGTCCTGAGGAAAGCACAAAGGGCTGGCTTCATGAGGACAACTTCAATTTGTCCTTTGGTAAACAATTTCTATTCTACCTTTTCCTGTTCCTTTTTCTGATCATGGCCTTTTTCTCTTAAAGCAGGAAGATAGATGTGTTTAATCACTCTCAATTTACAACCTTTTTTTTTCCCCGTTATACTTCTGCAGTGCTGACGTGTGTGTTTCTGTGTTTATAAGGCCTGCAATGAACTTGGACAAATCTGGATGGAATCTGGAGTGAGTGAAAACGCAGTGTCAGGACATATACAGCTGATCACACCTGGTGAATCTGCTTGTTTTGCGGTATGCAGTGTTCTGAAGAATTGTTCATTTGTTTTTCTTTTGAAGTGGGACTGGGAGTATGAAGATTAGCTGGCTAGTGAACATGATCCTGGCACAGCTGATGGAGTAGCTTCAAATTTTGTGTGATCTGTGCTTTTTTTATATACTTTTTTTAAAAACTGAATTTCTTTTTTTTCCCTTAGTGTGCTCCTCCACTTGTAGTTGCTGCAAATATTGATGAGAAAACATTAAAACGAGAAGGAGTTTGTGCAGCTAGTCTTCCTACAACTATGGGTGTTGTGGCAGGACTTCTTGTCCAAAACGTTCTGAAGTAAGTGTCTGAATTGCTGCTATTCAATGTGCAGCACCATAAGAGAAAGAAACCTGGAGGAACATTTCATAATGATGGGTCTACTTCTTTTTATATGTTTGTGGTCTATTTCCTAAAGATACTGGCATCATTAGACAGGGCTGAAATACACACTGCTTGAATTGCTGGTGTGTTTACTTTGGAGCTGCTGTTCTTAATAGAACTTTTCAGTGGTAAGGAAAAGTCTTCTGAATTTTCCTAAGAATTTCTCTTACTGCATAGACACACTTTATTTTTTTTTTTTCCTCCTTGTAGTTCTGCATTTAAACGTGCTCCTATTTGACATGACTAAGTTACACGCAAAAATGCTACAGTGCAGACTCTTTGGTATTTTGTACATGGACAAAGAAGAAATCATTTCCCTTGCAGTGTGTGTATTCTAACCTGAGATGAATTAAAAATTGTATAGAAATATGAGATATTTTAATATTTTCCAAGTACTGTCACATGACTCCAGCTGCTAAAAGAACTGCGTATATCAGCAAGGAAAATTCTTTAACAACTTTGTATTTGGTTTCAAAATGATGCACCATCTTTTACAAGCGTTTTTGAGAATAAGATCTTATTTAGCCTATTTTTAGCTTTAGCTTGGTTTTGTCAGTTATCCAAAAATTTCTGGTTACAAAGAATAAAAACACTGTTTGCAAACGTGCCTACAAACAACTAAGCGCCATTGTCAGCTGTGCAGAGAGAGGTGTTATATAAAATTGCATAGCAACAGGGGTTTTTCTTCAATGAACAATGCAAACATTGCAGCTTAATGTAAATCTTTATTTTCATTGCCAGTATGACCCTACAGTAAAGATAATTAAACTGGTTTTGATTAGCTGTTGAAAACTCTCCCTTCCTAATAAAGGGCACCGAGTGTTTCACGCGATGGGTTAAGGCACAGGAGAAAACTGCTTACATTTAAGCATTTTTTTTTTTTCTGAGACTGTAGCGGACTTGTTCTCACACGCGTAGACCGCAGGAGGATCAGGTTCTATGTTGATGCAGTTATGCTGTGGTCAGGTGACTACAGCTTATTTTAAAACAATTACAGTAATTTTTTACAACTTCACTGGTGTGAAAGTTTATTCTAAAAGTTGAGGAAAAATTATTCCTTGAGCAACTGAATTTTTAGGTTTGCGCCTGTATATAAGGGCCTGCTTTTTCTGTTTGTGTTTCTAGATACCTGTTAAATTTTGGTACTGTGAGTTATTATCTTGGTTACAATGCGATGCAGGATTTCTTTCCAACTATGTCTATGAAGCCAAATCCACAATGTAGTGACCAAAATTGCAGAAAACAGCAAGAAAATTATAAGGTAAAATGTTTTGTGTTTTTTTAATTTTCCTTTTCTTAAAGTCTTAAGAGCAAAGCAAGCTACAGACCTGTAGTTGAAGAAAACTTTCATCGCTGCTCCCATTTTCAGCAGCCTTGTCTTCAGATGGTTGCACATGTTTCTAAAAAGACAGAGTTCTCTTAAAGCAATGGGTAGGCAGGATGGCTTCCATTCAGTTAGATAATACTTTCTTCTGCAGTAATTGCTCAACCTTTCTGGCAGTCATATGTTTTTAAGTGTTAAGGTTTGGGGTTTTTTAACTTGCAGGTATTCAGCATTTTTATGCCTAACTAACAAAGTTCCAAAGGGTGACTGCATGCCTTAAAGATTAAAAGAAGTGTGAATATTAGATTTTATCATCTTTGCTGTTGATGAAAATTGGACTATTACATATATTATGGGTTTTATTTTTTTGTATTTTTCCTTCAGAAAAAAGAAGCTGCACGACCAAAAGAAGAAGTAATTGAACAGGAAGAAGAAATAGTTCACGAAGATAATGACTGGGGTAAGTAATCAACTGGAGATGAAATGATGTTTCCGTACCAAGATTCAATGAAAGTCTTTGTTTTGGGTGAACACACTGTAGGGTACATGGGACTTCTCATGGTTCCTGTTTTTTGCACTTTATACTACATAATTACTGCTGGCTTTTCACAGGTTTTGACAGTAATGCTAACAAAACTTGAAGATGTAGTTTTAGTATAATGTGCAGGTTTTAGGCACAAAAATTAACACTTTGTATAAAATACTTTCTCAGAAGACGGTCTGAAGATCTGAAAGATGTGGGAAGATTTATTGGCTGTGTGTTCGTTTCAAATATGTAGCTACAGAGCATTTGTCATTACCAAAACCACTTCGCTGAGGCATCCCCATAGGTCTTTTTATTCCTCCGAGGGAATAAATTTTTCAATTAGAAAAAATTGTCTTAAGAAATAGTACGTGCATTTTTCAAGAATGGATATATACATTCTGTTGATTGCATGATCTAGAAAATAACTTACCCTTGGTAAGTGTCCTCACAGTAGGATTTAAACTGTTAAGGACAAGGAAGCCCTATAGGAGAGGTGCCATTCTTGTCCACAACTTCCTTGTATGGAACAATTTCATGTATTATAAAGGGAAAAAGTTTTACATTGATAATGGGAATGATATTGAAATCAAAGGTCTTTCTGCTTTTACATTTTTTCTATTTTAGAAAAGTAGCTGCAGTTTTCCTTGTGCTATGCTAACGTAGTGATTAAAGAACTTTTTTGTCTAACTTCTAATGGAGTTCTCAATTCCTTTTAATGCCAAGGCATCGAGTTAGTATCTGAAATTTCAGAAGATGAGCTGAAGGCTGCGTCTGGCCCAGTACCTGAGCTTCCTGAAGGAATTACTGTAGCATATACTATCCCAAACAAGGTAATATTTTTGTTCTTTATTAGTACACTTATTTTTTTAACTACCTTGTATAGATTAAGTTTATAAAATGAGCCACTCTGGTTACCCTTTAAACCTAAAATAAAACTCCACAATTCCAGTAAAATTGTACCTCAGTACATCCGACCGCTGTCTTCTGTGGTCCAGTTCTGGGTTTCCATGAAGTGTATTTCTTTCGTTATGGGTGTTAGTGTGAGTGTAGTTTTGGTGATAGGAACAAATGTATTTGGGGGCCAGGGGAGGGAAAGAAAACGTGAATTTCTCAGTTGATATTTTGATGACTAATATTTTAACCATCATTATCTTGTAAAAACTATATGTAACCAAAGAGCATAGCTGGGGAACAGAATCTGTACGTATTGCAGCCAGAACATTCTCACTCCTGGTCAGAACAGAGTACACAATTTAAGCTTAGAATCACCTAGGCCTAGTCTTGCACCCGAGTGCTTCGTTCTAGGAAAACGGTGTGGTACCACAGGGATAAAGCTTATTTGTGCAGGGTTTTTTGTTTGCTATTTTATTTTTATTGCCAACTTTTCTTCCTGTTCCTAATAGGAAGAGAATTTGATAACTGAGGAAACGGTAGCTGATTCTGAAGAAAGCCTAGAAGAACTCATGGCCAAAATGAGAAACATGTAGCAAAACAAATATTAAGTACAAC